GCGTGCATGACATCAAAAAACGAACCCATACAAACCCGTAATTTTATGAACACGGCTTTAGGTTTCTCGACGGGCGCTCGGCTCACTATGAACACGTGACCACTTTTCCTTCTATAGCCTCNCCCCGGAAAGGACAAGTACGGGTTCGAGTCCCGTCCGAGACTGGAGTTTTGCCCACAAATCGCCAACCTTGTGAGACTTTCGCTTCGCGCACTGCGGCGTTAAAACAGCAGTTAACAAAACATCAAGTCAAAACGAGGTTCAAGTCATCTACCGAGTTGACCATTTATTCGATCTCGGAGAATAGGAAGTACGGTCAACATGCTAGTAACCTATTCACGAGCCACAAACTAGAAGTCTCCTACTGCCTAGCACCAATGCACCAGAGAAATCTCCCACTCTACACAATACACTCAATAATAAATTACACTATTGAAGTGTTTACCCCCAGTTTTTCTGAACTTGCACTTTAAACATAGCATAGGAGCAGTCGGTCTTTGCGAAGAATAAGAGTTTGGTGCCTAACGACCATGCCATGCTGTAGTTTTTTCAAGGTAAGATCATTGCTTGGAGGTGCTCGTGGAGTAACATCCAGAAAAACTCCATCAGGAGTACAATCGGGGACTAATTACGGGATGACTCAAATCTAACAAGCCTACTCTTTCCATCCGTGAAGGGACGGGTAATACCACTACCATCGAAAACACACCAACTTATTTATCTTTCGCCCCTTTCCCTCATCCCTACCGGCAACCTCTCTCTCGTCCTCTCACCCTTCTTCCCACCCATTAACTCATGGCTAAAAAACAAACGCGTTCCAACAGTACCACCATTCAGAATGCTAGTCGTGTTCGTGGAAGCGTCTGAGAACGGGAAGAGCCCACGAAACACCTTTACCCTCACTACTTTTCCCACGTGGGAGTTATGAGAAGTTTTAGGCCAAAGTGCTAACGAGTGACCGGAGCGCATACATACCTCTGAGGTATCCTGTACTTGGAGCTTTTTCTGAACAGACCATATTACACACAGCGCTCGGGTTTGTAATCTACAATTCTTCCGTTTCTCCAAAACTGATGTGAGCTTCATTATTGTATTATTGGGACGGTTTATTGGAGCTGAACCTTACTTTGCAAGTGAGATTCACCTCCGAAAACACAATATCGCAAATGCAGTCTTTCCCTCAACACCATACTACTAAACACAAAATGGGGCGATAGCAGCATCATTGGATGATATAAAAGAGTGGCTTTCTCTGTTGTGGATCTGTGGACTGAACGAAACCAGGCTTCGACCCAATTTCACTTCGACATATCAGCAAAAACTAGCTGAACAACATCAATGAAACAATGCCCGCTCCAGGTGAGAGCGGCCTACGGACTTTTTCGTTTTCGGTCAGCACTCAGGCGTTCCATTTAATGGGTAAACGAAGACTTACCGCCGGAACGAGTAGTTTTTTGACTTCTTCGACAGCTCGCGCCACTTTGACTCGTGCGCGATTGGGAGTGTCCTCACATTGAATTAGGACATGAAGCTCTTCAGACAGGTGTTCCCAATTCGGCTTCCCCCGGTTTAGCTCTTCCTAAAAAATTGGTTGTAAAAATAAATTCTTGCTCGTCGAAACTCCCAAACAAAACGCTACCTTTTTCTTGTCACGCATTGAACCTCGCCCTCGTACCATTATTTTACATCCGGTCTCCTGTTCCAACTGTTTTGCTGTCATTCCTCGGGGTCCTAATATCCGCCCAACAAAATTGTACTAGAAGAAATACGCTAAGCTATTATACAATACCACTCTGTGGAAGTTCGAATGGATGTCGTTGCGACCTACATCTGGATGTTCTTTGGCGGGAACGAATACTTTTTCTATGGTTGTTTGGACTTCTCCTTCAGGTTCTGGGAGGCTCATCTCTTCTTTCGTGAATTCGAACTGGAACAGTGCAACACGAACCTTGCTGATCTCTGAAATAACAAATCCATCATGCCCTTCATGAAACAGCGACAGCTTCTCTGGTTAAAGTCGAGAGGCGCAGATATCAGAGCGAAAAGCTCTCTCATACCTTCATCTGCTAGTCGTTCGAGGTGATGAAAAACATTTGGGAAAGCGGAAAGCTGTTTCTTGTCCTTGAGCAGCTGTGACAAGTATTCAACTGAGTACTGTTGGTTAGTGGCGACATTTGAACCTAAATCGATAAGTTGCTTCGATCACTGGGTAAGCCAGTTGATGTAATGGCAACAAGTTCATGAGAGGTACGGGATTACCTATGGTTGGGGGTATGAGAAGGGAAGGATTGAGCTGCTCAGTCATGGAAGTGGTCAGGCGGACTGAAAACGTGACCCCAACCGGCTACAGCATTCGCTATTACACCGTCTTGCCCTCTCTGTATCAATCTGCGCTTCGCTTAAAACGCGCCTGTTTCCTCTGTTAGACAGATAGCCGCAGTCGCCACAGAGGAATGGTGGAAGGTCGTCTCTGGCCATACGTATGGGTTGGCTTGTTTTTACAATGCGTCACTCACATGGCCCTACATCCGTTTCCTCCCAACAAAATGAAAACTTTACACTGATCGGGCCATCAAACACTCTAAGACACACAATTGATCCATTCAGCCTAGAACGACCGTCCACTAGATGTTGGAATGAGAAAATCTCCGAAGGAATCCCATCAATTATCGCTACTACGCGAGAATGTCAGTGCTGTGACAATCAAGGTCACTACAGCAACGAGCGCTTCAATAGGGGCTAGTCAATGTTCGATGGGTTCTTCACTACAGTTAGTACTCACCAACTGTGCTCTGTTTAACAGTCGATGTGCGAATGCCAGTGCTTTGGTCGATCATCGCTCAAAGCCACCGATTAACGGACACTGAGTGATGATCGAACGATCTCAAGAGAAACGGAGAGAGAGAGCGAGAAAGCATGCAGCTTGCTACATCACAGCAAGCTTCCACAGACACATCAAGGGTTACAGCAGCAAGTTTGCGTTTGCGTTCGTGTTAGAAGCGAAGATGCACATCGGGGATCCCCGTGGAGTTTAGATCACTACGAAAGTACTTGATCATTAACATACTACAAGCAATTAGTGTGTGCAATTATTTGTGGTGGTAAGGAGATGATAGTAAATGATAGAAGATGATCAGTAAGTGAAGCGAGATTGTGTACCATTAGCGTGGTGCTGATGGTGTTGTAGAAGGGCAGCGGAATCGGCGGTCATAGTTGCTGAGGCTGCTGCTGCTGTTGGAGCGGCAAGAGAAAAGCCGTCCGTCGATGATGGAGGAGTGAGCGAAGACCTCGATCCGCCAACACTCTGCAAGAAAAGCTGACCACGTTAGCACAACCAACCACACCTTTAGCGACGCGAGGAACACAACAACAGAAAAACGGTTAACGTTAGCCTAGCATACCATTCGGAACGCTACCAACTGTTCCTTTAGGCTGCGTCCATACTTGGCGAATTCGTGCCCGCTACGCATGCGGAATAAACACACACACAGCTCGCAACAGTTTACCAAGTATAGGCGCAGCTTTAGTGATGCGGAATGAGCGCATCCTGCATTCGCGAGAACCACCCTCTTCAGACACGACACGTTTGCGACAGCGGACCCGCTGGCTCCGCTTCGCGACGATCTCCTATCGAAGTGTATCACCAAGAATAGGGGCTCTGGCGAATGCATCTGCGCTTCACCGCCTAGGAATCGCTTCGCAGTTTGTCATGACAAAACTCAATGTCATGTGAGTAAAGTTACCGATGGAAAATGTTAAAAAAAGTGATTAATCAAATCCGCCACTACGGTAGGTGGCGATATCGTTAAATCGAACAAATACTTCATTTTTAGTGCCTGGAATGTTAAGCAACTGATGTCATAAACATAAAGCTGTGGTTTCCCAAGTAGTAAATAGATAATAGAAACTGAGTAGTGAAAAGAAACTTGATCAGGGATTTAAAATCATGTGTGAAGAGAAAATGACGTTCCTGAAGGTCGGGGATTCTATTTTACAAATATACAAAAGTGATACATACAATCGCAACCAAAACAATCAATGATAGTAGAAGTTCGGCGGAACCTATGGGTAATCTCGATCGCTGCACCAACTCGTGCCGAAGCGGTCGCAACAGCAACAGGCGCTCAGAGCGCCCGAGGAAAACACCAAGCCGCTCTGTTTCAGACGTTCATTAAATCAATCGATCGATCGGTCAATGAACGTTGGGTGGCACGCGGTAGAATAACTGCCTCGAGGACTTTACTCGGATGGATTAATGAGGTGCCGAGAGGTAAACAAGAGAAGGGAGGTAAGCTAGCGGGACGGGTTAGCCAGACAAAGGTGTTGGTTCATTGGAGTGGATTCTACACTTGAATAACTGAGAATGAGAAACGGTGAGTACGCTGAACCTGGTTAAGGGGGACTAATGGTCGAAGTGGAGACGAGAGATACGAGATGGGAACGCGGATAAGGTGGCGATGAATCGGAGCAGACCCACACCGCGCCCCGATGACTATCATCGACGACGACCTTCCTGTGACGTCCCCAGAGCTGTCTGAACAATCGCAGATATCGACGACATACCACGCACGCAGATCATCAGCGGCCGACCGGCGATGGTGGTGCACGCCACGGACAGAGCGGCGATCTAATCAGCAAGGAGTTGGCGAAAGTGTTTCGTGAGTTCACAAGAAAAGACAAATGCACATTGGAAGTCACGTCGTGGTGATGGCCAAGAGGACGAGGAGCGCTATGTTTTACACAGCGCCGCAAGAGCTCGCAGCTGAATGTTGACTGAGAAGCGCTTAACCCCAAAGGTCTGAGTGTCGCGCGCCAGCCACTCAGCACTCGCAGTCTTGTTTCGTCTCAGTGTGGGTAGTCGACGACGCGTAGGATGGCTTGCGATGGTGTACACCGTGAAACGAATTTGGCAGGGCATCACCATGCCATTAGAAAGAACACTCGGGGAAGTGGTTTGATTAGGAGGGGCACGACAAATCACGACCAACGACTGCCATCACCGCCATTCCAGTTCTTACGGAGAAACAGGTCGTCGTCATCTTCGGCGTCACATCGTTGTGCACGAGACACGCTTGCTAACCAATCAACTACCACGATTTACTGCGGCCGCCTTGCCGGAAACCCACCGATCCTCAGCCTATCGCCATTACCATGACGTTCCATGTTCTCAAGATTCAAGCGAACTGACATAGGCAGGAATCGGGACTATCTAACAATCCGCCGTCCCAGATTGTTACTGTGAATTCAAGTTCGTACGTAAAATGGATGCGTTTGTAGTTCTCCATGGCATTCTTTATTTTGTAATGGAAAGGTGTCAGCCGTGGTAAGGGCGTTCTGAGAGATCCCTGAACAGAACCCGGAACGCCTTAAGTGCTGTCAGGAAACGAGCGTTACTAGGAAAGAAAAACTCGAGCGAAGGCACGAAAAGGTATTCGAAGCTGCTAATGAGCTGTTCTCAACGATATAGGTGGCGTAGAAGTGCAAATGGATTAGAAACCAGGTTAGCACTATGGCTTCTGAAACAAAATCTATAAGCTCATTCCGCATCTATAGCAACCGCCAAGTTAACGTCCAGATGGAAGGTGGGTGTTCCACAAACCTGTCGTTCACCCCTTGAAGTATGCTCGATTAGGTGGCCCCCAGCATGCCCAATCAGTCGCTGATTAGTTTTTTGCAAGAGTTCTCCAAGAAACAACAAAAAAGACTTGGCCGGGAACCGTGCGCGTCTATCGACCAGCATGCTGTTGTGTGGTCAGAGACGCAGATAACGATAGTTCTGCTTCCTGAGGAGACAGAACTTTCAAAACCGGTTGAAGAGGGCAAAGAGTGTCTCACAAAACACCTTTTCTTTGGAGCGGCCTCGCTAGCCTCGAGGAGTTTCGTTGCCAGCAGTACTTGCGCGGTTGGAGCGATAAATGAGGAGGAACCGACAGCGGAACTGGTAGAGAATGTGCAACTTGATGAAGGGTTTAGTGGCTATTACCCAAACATCAAAGCAACGTAACATTTTCCGGCAAAGTAAAATAGTAGACAGCAATTGTTAAATTAGTGGAAAAGCTGAAGCGTGCAGTACAACGACGAATTATGTGAACTATGAGAGGATTCACGAAGACTCCAATGGTTAGTAAAATTTTGTTTAGTAAAATTAGCTTCAATGGCGGACCATTCACTATATCAACACGGATCTTGTACTAGGGAATGTTCCCCACACCCCGTCCGGGTGCTGTTTACGTCATGGGGACATCTAACCTATTATGACATTGAAGGTCCCGCAACGAAATCACCATTTCCTTCGCGTGAAGTCATATAGGGATAGCTTCTGAAGGGTTTACACCGTCGCATTGCCCTGATAGCTCGTCCTACGCTCTTTATTGTGAGAATAGCAAATCTGAGATGGCTTCTTTACACCTCAATCCGAATCTTTCATATCGCGCAAGCCTGGCATACTTATTGTGAGCTTGAAGGCGCAGTACAAAATAATTGGAAGAGCGAAAGTTTTGGTAAGGAATAGCTTGTACTTTGGACGAGATTTCAGTTGTGTGCAATTGCGTGAATAGTTGGCTACAGTATCCTGTTGCCAGAGTTACTGTACACTGTTGCTGTGTTGTGTTAGTGGTTGCATCATAATTTTATACTAACTCATCTGTTGAAAATCAGAACGCAGAGAATAGGAAAGTAGAACAGTATGGACAATTAGGAACCACGGATTAAGAAAAATCAGCGTGAATAAGCTGTTCCAAAATTCAACGAATGTTCTCCATCGTGAATGGTGAGCTCTGTGCGAGATCGTTAGAAAATACGGGCATTTTTGGGTGTGGTATTCAAACGAAGCAACTCAAAAATCGCCAGCACCCTATTTAGGACATTTTTGAACTCGAAAATGCCCCATGTTGCATCCCTGGCTGCCTAGAGGACCGTCTGCGAAGAAACCGAAGCTACTCGAGTTGTTTTGAAGGAGTAATTGAAACGAGTTGTCGACGACGTTGTAATGGTCGAGTAACAAACTCGGTTTTTCATTAAGCGGCCACTTCTCTGCTGATTGATCACCACTGCAATCGTGTTCCCTCATCTGGACTGCTTTGAGCTGAGACCTTCACAAAAACAGTGGCAGAGATGAAATCCTTTTTGACTTCTTCGCTATGTGTGATCATTTAATTGCAGGTTTGAACTTATCTACTGGAACAATCCATAAAGAAGTCCTTCTGGACGTTTCAAGCAGTCGACGGATGACTTTTACCAGGCTACTCCTATGCTTGCCGACATATCTGGCCTCGGATGGGTGCTTGGAACTACATGCTCTCGACAAATTATAGATTGATCATGACCTTACTGCATAATAATCATTTTCTGTTCGCCTATTTATCGATTGAAGTGTGTAAATTACGAGTTCAGTAGAGTAAGTGTAGCTACCCTTTTTCTGATGTTGACATAGGCTGCCAGGCACAGAACGGCTCCCATACAGAAGTCCAGCGACTTCACGCGAAGAATTTATTTACCAACTTCAGCGTGACCTTTCAGCGGTACCTGCTGGTCGGTTTTGCAATAGTGAGACCCACCTTTTTCATCATCCTGGGAATTAGGTTTATGACATATGAGTCCCAGGTTATCGACCCCTGGGACACCAGCAGTTCCATCGGTCGTCAGGTTTAGCGAACTCATCGTACTTCAGCTGTTCCCAATGACTCGCTATTGCTATTTCATTCAAAGCGATGGAAAAGTGGCGGTCCAGTTGTGGGTAGATGAGTGAGCCTCGGTATTATCATCTACTGAGGATGGGTGAAGAATAGCATTTCTCAAAGCACAGCCAGGAAAAGCAGAGAAGGAAATCGAATTGGAATCAATGAAACAAACAATAGAAACTAAAAGTCAGGAAGGACCTTCCGTTGACCACTCTCACTCAAAAACCTTTTCCGACCTTTTTATGTGCCTATTCACTCAAGGCTTCCTTCCAAAAGGTCGACACATTTCTGATTCAACTGAATTACACTTTCGATTCTTGACTTTGGGTGAGTATTTGATGGAGTTGAGTTA